TATCTATGCGTGGAATGTACTCTACGTCCACGTTCCACGCGTTCAATTATTTTTGATGGCTTCCCCTAATTCGCAATCATCGCGAAATAGGTTGCGATCTTTATCTAAATATCCTCTTTACCGCGATTTTGACCTATTTCGCGATGATTACGAATTAACAGAACCAATGTCCGTTACAAATCACTTCTTGTGTGAAACCACTAAAAAATCATATTACACGACATAATCTTAGATGTTGGTTCAAATGACCACAGGCAAAGCGTAATTTTAAAGCGCATAAAAGAATAATCTTGATGTCTTATTCATGGCAATAAAAGGATTTTAAACCTATCTTTCCTCTATCTTCCGAACTTATGAAACAATTCAGTACTTACATTTGTCTTGTGATACAATAGAGTATGTCCGTGGGTAACGAAATAATTCACAATTTCCTCCCCTTTTATACTCTTTACTTACAAAGGCGCAGTATATCTTTCTGTGCTTATTGATTGTTATTATAGCTATCTTACTTATTTGCTTAGATCTGTGTTCTTGCTTTTGTCTTAGACACGAATAGAAGGCGTATCTATAAGGTATATGATCAAAGAGAAATGAAACGGTTAATTGGTTTGATTTACCGTTAAATTTTTCCAGTTTTTGTTATCATATCGCATTTTATCTTCAAAGTTTTGTTATTTGAAAATATATTAGTTCTAATTTTAACTCAAATATGTATTAATTAAAAATGTTTCTAGGAAGGTATAATAAAACTATAAACTGTTGATTGGATGAACATTTTTTTCATTGTCACAAAGAATATATAAACCTCGTTCGTTGTCAATTAAATGTTGTATGAATGAATAATTTATTATTTTAAAAGTATCACACCTTCAAAACAGAAATTTTTTACGTTTTCCAACTAAATCCGTTTATATTATTATAAAAAGTAAAAGGTATATTGAGTTCAATTTATATTCGCAATATTCATGCGATTTAAAGCAGTAGAAGAAACAAAACGCCCTTCTTTTTAACTGTGTTTGACACTCTTCCTTTTTTGCAGAAAACTTTAGTCTTAATCAAATACATTTGTTTTTTTTTATTTTCACAGATGAATCATTTATTCTTTTCGGAAAGGAGCGCACTTCTTTGTACACCAACAGCTCGTCAACGATTCTGCTACGAACGATGTGCTACCATTACACGACGGAAAGGTTAGTTTTATCGTTTTAAAACCTACTAAACTTTATATTCATTGACAATGGATTATAATGATCTTTTAGAATTTCGTGATAGAGAACAAAGACAAATTAAAGAAAAACTGGAAGATTTGAAAGAAAGAAATGAAAGCATAAACCAAGAACGACGAAGAATAGTTCGTCAACAACACCAACAAAAGTGGGACCGTGAAGAAAGTTATGTGACGATGTTTCAAAATTTATGTCAAAATTACAATGGAAAAAGATTAACAAGTGAACAAGCAAAATTATATAAACGCATGTGTTTTGATCAACTGGATGAAACAGAATTTGAAGAAAAACTAGAAAAAAACAAACAAAAATTACAGAATAATGATCGAGAGCAACACATATTAAGAGGGAGAATTCGACCACACTGCTGGGACGTCAGCGGGAATTGTAGGAAATGTGAAATAGAAAATACCGGTGGTAATTACAATAGTAATGATGAACCAACATCTCGAGAAAACGGCGAAGTCGATCCTTGGTGCGATGAAGATGCAAT